GAGATACCAAAATCAAACAAGTACACCAATTTAAATATTTGAGAAGTAGTTGGCTCTCTTTGTCGCGCCAGAAAGTTTTTTTTCTCACCCGAGTTTATCCTTCAAATCTATAAATCAACCATTCGCCCTTGCATTGAATATTGCTGTCATATATGATCTGGTGCTCCCGCTGTTCGACTTAAGGTTTTCGACAAAATCCAGAGATGTATATGCAATGAGATTGACCCTCATCTGGCATCTCGATTACAGTCACTCTCTCACAGAAGTGTTGTCGCTTCACTCTGTCTTTTTTTACAAGTACTATCACGGTAACTGCTCCGACAAGCTATTTTCGATAGTTCCAAAACTGCATAAATTTAAACGTGCTACTAGGTTGGCATCTCAGTCCCACCCTTTCACTGTCGAAACGGTTAAATATAGCCGTCTCTTCTACTCCAATAGCTTCATGTCTCGCCCTTCCCGTCTGTAGAAGTCCCTTCCTATTTCCCTCATTGCTGTAATCTCCAACTATTCAAATGCAATGTCAATCGACATCTCCAGATGCCTTGATCTATTCCCTGTCCTTCTCTTCATCCTTTCCTCTATCACGCCTCTTTACTCTTGCTTCCACTCTCTGCAATCCCTTGCATGCTAGTGGCACTCCCGCCTTTCTTGGGGTGAAATGCTTAAAAAATATCAGCAGAGGACGGAAAGTACACTACTGAAATTCAAAGACGCATTGGGATAGTCAAAGATTCTTTCCAGAAGCTAAGCAGAGTACTGTGAAACAGGAAAATTTCGTTAGAAACAAAGAAAAGAGTACCGAGTATGTGATATATATCGACCAAAATGACAGCGAATACTGGACAATCCCTTCACAGATAAAGAGACCTTGAAGCAACAGAAATGTGGTTCCACAGAAGGTTGCTGAGAATACCACGTGCCGGACATGTGAGCAATGACGAAATTGTAGAGAAAATTGAAATAAAAAGACACTTCTACTTAACACCAGAAAGAGAGAGTTAAAATTTATTGAGCTCATAATAAGGAAAGAGGGCTTGAAAAATTTGATACTCACAGGGCAGGAAAAACAAGGCATTACCTACTTGACGAGATTGAGTAAATGAATGGCGAAACGGTTTAGGAGAGATAACAAAAAGACAAGATTTATTAAGAGCTACAAAAGACAGGAAATTGTGGAAAGCCATGACCGCCAACTTCCTGAATGGAAACGGCACATAGAAGAAGAATAAAATATATGATGGTTCGAGTTCAGGTCGAGGCGTAATTTGCCTCCGAGATAGGATTTAACTTTTACATTCTTGATATCAGTCAGCCGAACTTTGATTTCTATTCTTGGAAGCAAAAATTCCACGGCTGTTTCTTCCTCTCTCTCTCTCTCTTTCTCTCACACACACACACACACTTTCTCTTTCGAATGTTTTGACTGGACACACACGAGCATACGACCAGGTATCAGAATTTTCAGGACAGCCCATTCTTTTTCGGTCAGAGAATTTTTAATAGCATCTAATGTATACGAAGTCTGTCTGAAAAGTAACGGGACTGAGTGTGCTGTTAGCTACGGGCATCGTCCAAAGTGACTTCTTGCTGCAGTGCCAGACGATCAATCAACAAGTCTGCAAAGACATCCGGCGGCATTTGCTTCGTTCAGTGCACGAGAAGAGACGAGAGTTGTGGTAGGACAAATTATGTCTGTTTCACCATAACAATGGATATGCTCATGAGCATCCCGCAGTTCCTGGTCGAGAAGAGCATCACTGGAACAACGTCCCTGATCACCTGATCTTTCTCCGCGTGATTTATTTCTTTTCACCAAGCTCAAGGGGATCATCAAGAGGACCCGTTGTGAAGGCGTGGAGGCCATCACGAGGGCCGTAACGAGGAAGCTGAGGGACATCAAAGAAGAATCCTATTAACAGTGCATAGAATCGTGGCAGAGAAGAACAGAAAGCTGCATTAGACTCGAGGGGGATTACTTTGAAGGGGAAACCATGTAGTTTGTTGCTTGAAATTGAAATAATTTATATATATATATATATATATATATATATATATATATATATACAAGTGAACATAGAAGTCAACGCATAGAGGCGGTAGTCTGTTTCATACTAGATGCAATCCTCAGGCCATATATATATATATTGTTGTGGTAGGATCCACCTAATTTGCATAGTGGAGTACCGACCATATAAATATGGTTGGTAGCGGGAGAGAGTGGGAGGAATCAAGAGATTCAATCCAGAGACTCTGCCCGACTGCGACTAAGTCAACACATTCTCCAGGAACGGTCTTCCCAGGAATATACAAAAAGACTATATGTAAATATTGTGTACACTTTCTTGTTTCAATACATTTTGTTCTAAGTACATTTTGTGTTGCATTATTATTCCATGCATGCATTAGTCAAGTTTCAACATATATATATATATATATATATATATATATATATATATGAAGAAATATAGTCTTCATATATATATATATATATATATATATGAAGACTATATTTCTTCATTCATATATATATATATATATATATATATATATATATATATAAGACTATATTTATATATATATATATATATATATATATATATATATTGAAACTTGACTAATGCATGCATGGAATAATAATGCAACACAAAAATGTACTTAGAACAAAAATGTATTGAAACATTATTATTCCATGCATGCATTAGTCAAGTTTCAACATATATATATATATATATATATATATATATATATGAAGAAATATAGTCTTAAGATATATTTATGGGATAAAGTGCTCAATATCAGAGATAGAGCGTGTGTAAATATAAAAGTGAACATAGAAGTCCACACTTAGAGGCGACAGTCTGTTTCATGCTAGACGCAATCATCAGGCCACGAGTGCTGTTATTGGCGCATTTGTAACTTTTGGTTGCGTGAAGGTGTTTACTAAGTACTGTTTTTGTAACTATTTTTTAACTTCCTCTTGACACGATCTTTTGTTATCATCGTTGACATGTTAGAAGTATTATCCAAAATCTATGTGTTTTCGTGTTTCATAAGCCATTTTCGAAAAATATATTATATTTGTTTTGCTAGAATACGTTTTTTAATTAACAGAACACGTGTTACAGATATATCATATATTAAGCGGTAAATACAACAGTAGAGTATTATACGACTAGTAAGTGTGTGTCGGTTGACCCAGTGTTCAGTCTATTCGACTGTTATATTTGTTTTATCAGTTTGTTTAAATTGCGCAGATCAGTACGAAAATTTCAGTGATTGCGCAGGTCAGTGTTGCCAACATTGTGTGAAAATTTTGTGCGAATTGATTGGACGGTTTTTGAAATATTAGAAAAAAGTTATCTCGATAATAATTTGGCACGCAGTATATATATATATATATATATGTGTGTGTGTGTGTGTGTGTGTGTGTGTGTGTGTGTGTGTCTACCGCAAGTAGAGTTGGTTCACTGTGTCGTGCCAGATGTTTTTCTCGTTTGAGTCTATCCTACACATCTACAAATCTACCATTCGTCCATGCATTGAATACTGTTGTCTTATCAGGTCTTGTGTCTTTTCGACAAAATCGAAAGACGGGTCTGACATGTGATCAGCCATGACTTGGTATTTCGACTTTCAGTCGCTTTCTCACCAACGTGATCTTGCTTCCCTTTGTCTTTTCTACAAATATTTTCATAATAACTGCTCTGTCGGTCTATTTTCCGACTGCATGAATTTAATCGTGCTACTAGGTTGGCATCTAGCTCCCAATCTTTTATTGTTGAATCAGTTAAATGTAACTGCCTCTTCTACTGCAAAAGCTTCTTCTCTTGCACTTCCCGACAGTGGAACTCCCTTCCTCTTATTTCTATCCCTGATAACTACAATCTTCAAAAATTAAAATGTAACGTTAATCGTCATCTCCTGATACCTTGATCCTCTTCTTCTTTTTATCGTTAATCCCCTCTATACCCAGTTTTTCTCTTACTTTCCTCTTTGCAACTTGCGTACTAGTGCTCTTTGCTTGGGGTGAAATGCTTAATGTATATATATATATATATATATATATATATATATATATATATATATATATATATATAAGCATTTCACGCCCCCGGAAAATTTAATTCCGGTCGATCACTCTTGAGAGAAATCGCAAATTTGTAAACAATGATTACTACTGCTAATACTGCAAAGCTCTTCCATGAACTGAACCCTCTTGGTCCTTGGCGTGTTTATTCGAAGAATAGGTACGTAAAAATTTGCCTTCTTCTCTACCGGGCGCTGATAGTTCAGGGGTAAAATCTCTGATTCGGTCCGGTTTCGATCCCGGCTTGAGGCAATCGGATGTCTACCACACTGATGAGCTGACAGCTAAACAGTCTGTCGGTGAATGACGATATATATATATATATATATATATATATATATATATATATATATATGTGTGTGTGTGTGTGTGTGTGTGTGTGTGTGTGTGTGTGTGTGTGTGTGTGTGTGTGTGTCTGTGTCTCTCTGTGTGTGTATATGTATGTATGTATGAACATTGCAAGATAGCATCACGATACCGAGCAATGTCTGTTCATCAAAATGAAAATGAAGAAAAACATTGCACTGAGTCAATCTCTTTCTCTAAGGAACAACACCATTTACCACAAAAGAAGAACCAGTCAACATCATTGGATGGTGTCAAGTCGCGTGTGTTGCAGCAGAGATTTCCTTCTCCTAGTTGGATAACGAAGGGTAAGGGCTCTAACATTCCCAGTGGGCTTACCCAGGTATTTTCTACAACACCACCGCTGTGCTAGATGATAATTGATTCGAATGAAAGGATCCCTTCGACATGTTTTGTTTTAATACTACAGTGTGTTTAGCCTCCCTTTTCACCAGAAAAAGCCTGGTGGGTGGGGCAGTTTAGTTGCCGATAATCCAACCTTGCAGCAGGCAGTACTGGGTTACATGTTACCAGTAGTGCTAAATTAATTTCAGAATGAACTTAGAACCACTCTCCCTTCTCTCTTAACTTTCTTTCTCTCCATCTCTAAAATTTATTTTCTCTCTCCATCTTTAAAAATTCTTCTTTCTCTCCATCTGTATAATTTATTCTCTCTCTCTTTCTCTCTCTCCATATCTCTAATATTTCTTCTCTCCTTCTCTAGTGGTTTTTCTCCCTCTTTCTCCTTTTCACTTAATCACGTCTGTTTATAAACTACAAGCAAATGCTAATGAATGAATCCAAACAATCCACAGATACGATTATAGAAATCTATTACAAGTACATAACACGTTAAACTCGCGAAAAAATGCAAAAAAAAAGGAAAAAAAGTCGTTAGAATATTAAAATGTAGTAGTGGCATGTGATCACAAGTCATTTGTTGATTGGTTAAAAAAATTGATCGAAAAGAACTACATTTGTTTCGTTTACAGAGCATTTAGAAATAACAAGTTCGTCAGGTGTGTTGGTTTTCATGTAAAGAGACCTGTTGGTGGAAGGCGGAAACGGAATAGTGATGGCAGACGAGAAGGAGATGAACAAAATAGCAAAACGCTGAGTCATTCGATTTAATAAAAATGGGTGGATAACAAGAAAATAAAAATAAATGGTCGAAAGTTGGCGGGAAAAAAAACGTCCATTGTTGGGTTGAGGCTCGTAAGTGCATAGACCAGTCATCAAAAGCTTGACCCTTCCACTTCAGGATTACCAAATACCCACCAACCTCCTTCCTTTAGTGTTGTTTGTGTAAGTGGTTCGGCTAGGGACGGTCACTTTAATTGACGCTTTGTTAATTGTAAGGAAATTGGCTTCGTGGGTGGTCAAACATGGAGTCAAAGAAAAATTCAAGAGTAGACAGCTCCACTCAAACAAAAACACGTGCGAATTCATCTCAGTGGTGAGAGCAACCGGAAATCTGAAAAAGGACAAAGGGCTAAATTGCATGTTACCATGATTAAAACACTGGAGAGGCGACTTCATCACAGTGGTGAGAGCAACGGGCAATATAAAAAAGACGTAAAGAAATTGCATGTTACAATGATTAAGACACTGGAGAGAGGCGACTTCATCTCAGTGGTGAGAGCAAGGAACAAGCTAAAAAAAGACGTAATATTTCCATGTGATCACATGGAAATATTCCATTTAGCAGTTAAGCAAGTAATAAATTTTGGATCATGGTAACATGTAATATATTACATGTTACCATGATCCAAAATTTATAGTGGGTATCGAACTGTAACCCGCTTAGAAACCTGGAAGCAGTCATACCAGTAATAATCAGGCAATATTCAATTTAACAGTCATGTCAGAAATCATGAGGAAATATTCCACTTAGCAGTCATGGCAATAATCATAAGAAAATATTCCACTTAGCAGTCATAGCAATAATCATGATGCAATATTCCATTTAGTGGCCATGCCATTAATCCTGAGAAAATATTCCACTTAGCAATCATACCAGTAATGATGAGAAAAATTTCTATTTAGCTGTCACGCCATTAACAATGAGGAAATATTCCACTTAGTGGTCATGCCAGTAATCACGGGAAAATATTCCACATCAGTATTGCCATTAATCATTAGGAAATATTTCACGTAACATTATTGCCATTACTCATGAGAATATATTCGATGTGGAATCGTGAAGAAATATTCCACTTCACAGTCATGTCAGTAACAATGTGGAAATATTCCGCTTAGCAGTCATGGCATTGACCCTGATAAATATTCTCCTTAGAAGTCATACCAGTAATCGTGAGGATATATTCAATTGGCAGTCATGTCAGTAACAATGTGGAAATATTCCACTTAGCAGTCATGGCATTAACCCTGAGTAAATATTCTCCATAGAAGTCATGCCAGTAATTGTGAGCGTATATTACATTTATCAGTCACACGTGTAAACATGAAGAAACATTCCACTTAGGAATCATAGTAACAGTCATGAGGAAATATTCTAATTAGCATTCTTGCCATTATTAATGAGAAAATATTCCACATGCGAATCAGGTCAGTAATCCTGTGAAAATATTCTACTTAACTGTAATGCCAGTAATCATGAAAAAATATTCTACTTAGCAGTCATACCTGTGATCACATGGAAATATTCCATTTAGCAGTTAAGCAAGTAATCATTAGGAAATAGTCAACTGAGCAGTTATGGTAATATTACAATTGGTTGTCATAATAATCCACATAGCAGACATTCCAGTAATCATGTGGAATTATACCACTTAGCATTAATGCCAGTAATGATGATGAATTATTCCACGTAGCATTCTTGTCTGTAATCATGATGAAATATTCAACTTACAAACATGGAAATTCACATGAAGAAATATAACACTTAACCGTCGTACCAGTAATCACGTGGAAATAATCCACTTAGAAGTGAAGCCAGTAATCATAAGAAAATATTCCATTTAGCAGTCATACTAGTAACCATGAGGTAATTTGCCGCTTAGCAGTGATACAAGTAATCATGAAGAAATATTCCACTTAGAACACATGCCAGTAATGAAGAAATATTAAACTTATCACGCTAGAAATCCCGAGGAAACATTCCACTTAGCTGTCATGTCAGTAATCCTGCGGATATATTTCACCCGGAAGTAATGCCACTAATCACGAGGAAATATTCCACTTAGCAGTTATGTCAGTGATAATTAATTAACATATCCCTCCTGCCAGTAATCATGAGGAAATTCTCCAGTTACCAGTCTATTCAGTAATAATGGTATATAATTCAACTTAGCATTCAAGACAGCAATTTATAGCAAATATTCCACTTAGCATTCATACCTGTAATCTTGAAGAAATATTCCCCTAAGCATTCATGTTATCTATCAAGAGGAAATATTCCACTTCACATTCCTACTTGTAATCATGCCAGCAATTTATGTGAAACATTCCCGTTAGCATTCATGCCTGTAATAATGAAGTAATGTTCCAATAACCATCTATTCTCTTAATTTATAAGAAATATCCCAGTTGGCATTGATGCCATTAATCATCAGGAAAAATTCTACTTAGCATTCCTTCTAGTAATCATAAGGAATTATTCGACTTAGCCTTGATGGCTGTCATCTTGAGGGAATTCTTCTGATACCATTCATGTCAGTAATTATGGGGAAATTGCCCACGTAGTATTTATGCAGCAATTTATAGCAAATATTCTAGTTAGTATTCATGTCAGTTATTTTTGGGAAATTTTTCCAGTTAGCATTCATACCAATAATCATGAGGAAATATTCCACTTAACATTCATACTGATAATCATTTATCATTAGAAAGAAATGGCTTGCTATATCCGTCCATCTCACGACGTTCATCTTCAGGGATATTATGTGTCCTTTCTCGACATCTTTGAAACGAAGATGGAGCCATCCTTATGCTCTCTTGTCGGAGGCCATCTCCACGGACGTTTCAGAATCCTTCTGTCCTACCTCCAGACTTCATGCCTGAGAACCTGAAAAAAAGATTGTCACGGCGTATTTGACGGCATGTAAGACGCACTCCAATTTCAGCAGGGCAAATCAAGAAAAAAAATTAGTAAAATTAGTAAACCTACATATGGCATATAAGACGCAGGGGAATTTTGAAAGATATTTTTAGTAAAAAAAAAAAAGTGCGCTTTATATGCCGTCAAATAAGGTAGTAATTTAAATGCAGTCAAAACGCCACTAGTAGGTACCAATCAAAATAACTGTTTTTGTGAGTCTGTTTGAGGCAATAGAGATGACAAGGAATTTTTGGTAGTTCCACACGAACGCGAATCAACCACAACGTTCTTCACATAAAATTCTTCACTTCAGCACGTTGGGCGTTGTCATAAGAAATTCCTTCTTCGCGGCTACTCATCTCAATAAATAGTCACTGACTAAAAGTCAACAACATGCATTACAAGCAAACCATTTTCAAATTAACATTCATTTAAATAAAATTAACTTTTTTCTGTACAACACTTTAAAACGGAAGTGTTTTTATAAGGACTCTCACTTGCACCCATTTTTGTCTACAAACATTTAACAAACTTTCAACAATTCAAAGCCATTTTCTACACTCTGCAACCTTCAGTATCTGTCTATATTTCTGAGATGAGGTATTATGTACACTATTTACATTATTCGAACCATTGTACTCATCTTTGTTGCCATATTTATCACAACGTTCCAGTCGTTGTACGCTCCGGCCTTCTTCAGGTGGTTGGAATGTCGAATTGAACCCTTTATTTCTCTTGTTGGGGTAGACTGTTCTAGTTCCACGTGTCATGTCTAAGGAATCAGCACATAGCCGACCAAGCATAGAAATGAATACAATATGGGAACCAGTAATAAAGAGTGCCAGAGAAAAGCGATAATAACAACGAAAGTTGCAATATGAGCTCTGGTAAAAACATGGAATGATACCAGCAAAAATTTCAATATGATCACTAGTAAAAAATGATTGCTGAAGACATTAGGTTTATAATACTCAGAAATTCATACAAGGACACATGGCGCAATGGATAAAGGCGTTATATCCAATGACCCAAAGAGTGTAAGTTCAATACCTGGTTAAGGGAGAGGGAAATTAACAGGAGATAACTGACATCCATTTGACATGGCACGTGGAACTAGAACTAGAACAGGCTACCCACGCGAGCGAAATAAAGGGTTCAGTTCGACATACCAACCACCTGAAGAAGGCCGGAGCGTACAACGGCCGAAATGTTGTGATGGCAACAAAGATGAAGACAACAGTCCGAATGATATAAATAGTGCTCTGTATCCTTGTTTAATATAAATTAATCTGTTGCACAAAATTTGCATTGTTTCATTTTAACTGTGTTTATCTATCCTTGGTCCTTTGTCCATTTTACAGCAAATTACGGTCGTTGGTTCATCCAGGATGTTCTTTTATGAGTGGAAGGTTTACTTACCGCAACATTTCCATGTGGTGCATATGGCCTATTCAACGGAGAGGAGTGATGATGCTGCATATGTCAAACCATTTGATATACAGGATGGATCTGATTCCTATCCCTATCAGGAAGGTTATTTTGTTGTGGAAGGTCGAGAGAGGGGTTTATTTTTCCCGCCAACTTAAAAAATGTCATATAGCCCCAAATAAAGTCTTAAATTGTTTGAAACTTTGCATGGTTATTCTTTTACCTTTTATCTTTCATTTTAAAATTTTCATTGGACCCGGAACTAATGACGTCATCACGCATAAG